GAGCTAAAGGCTGAAATTTGCCAGCTCACGCTTTGCTGCCCATGTGAGCAATCTTGGGAAAAAACAGAAACAATTTAAAACATATTTATGGACATCTAGTCCATAAATCTATAAGTAAATTTTTTTTCAACTTGGGAAACATAATTCACAGTTTAAGAGTATTTCTAAGGTCGTATTGTATCAAGTCTTATAGTTCATACATACCTGTACTAGAACTACACTGTAAACCTTCCAATGAATTAATATAATTTGTTCCAAGCCATTTCTCTGCAGTTTTCTTGTCTTTGACTGGAACAATCTTATTAGTGGAATCTTTAAAGATTAAGTCTTTTGAATTATATTTGGAAGAGTCAAACATTTTGAATTCAAGATGACTGTCGCTTCCATAGTATTCCTGAACAGAAGACAAAAATGAAAATTTCAGAAATTCAACATCCCAAGGTCAACTATGTTGAATGATTAATTATCTAATATTCTATTTAATATGTATATTAACCCCTTAATGGCTAAGGCTCTTTTGAGATGCAATACATTTGTAACCAAGGCCTTTTTTGCACTTTTTGCCATGCGTTCATTCTACCACAATTTCACCCTTTCTGTTTAAATGTACCAAGACATATTGCTTATAATTATTAAGGGAGAAATATAGCTTCCTTTTAATACCCTATATGTATACATAACAGAATATTAAATAGTAATAACATATTTAAAAATTGGAAAGAGATGACAATAAAACACATTTTTTTCCCTCAGTTTTTACATTTAATAATTAATTTTTTTAAATTCTTTATTTTTATTGTACACAAGATAATATACAAGCCGACGATGCCACAACAGCATAGTACAAGCCCATTAAAGCAAGCTTATTCACATAGATGGCATAGAATTTTTGCACATTTTTGTATTTTATGAGGATAAACAAGCTAGGTTCATACATCAAGTTGTAAGTTACCAAAGTGACAAGCAGTAACATCAGCGAACTTAACGTATTGGGTTTTGTGAGAGTAACTGTGGTATAACTTAATAAAATGCATATTCTAACAGCATGGCTAGTCTGAATAATGCAACACAGCTAACTGGTCTAAAATAGGCATTAAGGTGACATGTTATGTTCCCTGAGCGTTCTGCTAAGCCTATTATAATTGAATAATTACATCTAGCAAGATAACTTTTTGCTTAGTAAAAGCCACTGGGTCTCCTTGTTTCAGACATCCCCCACTCTGCTGTTGAAGTGTTTAGTACATGGCTCAGGTATTCCGCCATCAGGCGATTTGGGTAGTCCCACCGCATGTTCCCGCCACCAGCTTGGTGAATTGTGAGGTTCAGTCCCATCATGCGTGTAAATTGGTTTGTGCCGCTCCGCCAGCCCTAAATCACACCTTGGATTTGGATCTTGCGCCGTCAGGGCTGGTGCAGATTCGACCTTGAGGGGTTTAAATCTTCATGCAGTGAGATTATACTCTGCACGGCTCACGGAGTTGTGGTTTGCATGTCGGGCGCCAGCTCTGACTGTTGGGAGTTGGAACGTGAGTGTCTGTGGCATAGCCGAGGTGGCCGTTCCAGCTTCAGTGTCGGTTTCGAATGGGCATGGTCGGCCGCCATTTTTGTTGCAGAGTGCTGGGTAGGCCCGTGTTGTAGTGCAGCTTCAGACTCTCCAGTGGAGGCCGGGATAACCCCCACTGGCCCAGAGGGGGGTATGGGGCCAGCAACCACACCAGAGAGCAGGTGTGTGGCATTGGGAGGGAGGGGGAGAGCGGGACAGCGGCCGTCTGCACCGCTTCTCCTCCGAGTAGGCCGCAAACTCCAAAGCCTTAGATCACCCCTGCGGGCTCCAAAACTCCTGATCTCAGCTTGCACTGCGATGTCCACTGTCGTGTACCAGCTACAGGTACATTTTTTTAGCTTGGATTGTGTGTTTAAGCTGTGATTTTCAGCTTGATTGACAGAGTGCATCAGGAGCTTCTACTGCATGCGACCGGTCAGCATGGCGGCCCGGCCCTGCCCCCCTACATTTAATAATTTATACATCACATCGAGTGCAACTAAAATCTCAAATTAGTCCTGATTGCTAAAATGCCCAATATGTCTAGGATATTTAGAAGTTATAAAATAAATGAAGCGAAATTGTTTTAACGCTGCTGGTACTTTTATTGCATGATGCTCTATGCCCGTCGATGGGCGTTAAAGCACTGCACTGCATGACATTACAGACCACCATGTGGTCCTTAAGTGGTTAAGGTTGGTAATTACAATGAAAACTGCCAACACGAAATACTGAATTAATTCATAGTACAGACAACTTCAACTGCCTAAACAAATAGGTGATATTCTAAGTGCAAAAAGCTAAATAATGAAGGACATTCACTTTCCATGTTGATTGCTCATTGTTTAGCACAAACAATGCTAAATTAAAAGGCTGTTACTTTTATTAATTATTATTTTTATTTTTTTTGGATTACATATGTCCAAAATGTTTAGAGACTATAAAAGAGATTTATCAAAGTGTTGTATTCTGAAAATTGGTGCAAAATTAAACAGATAAAAATCACCAAGGAAATTGGAGAAATTTAATAAAGTTTGCCCCAATTTTTAAATCCTGTCATTGTGACAAATCTCTCCCAAAGTATCTAGTGATTCCATTGGTTTGCATTAAAATTTTCCACCTTTTCAGACCATACATTTTCCATAAGAGAATACAAATGTGCTTAGTTCTCCCTCTCTACTTGATATTTTAGATATTTAATAAATCGTGATTGACATAAAAATATGCCTGGTTCTAGGCAGTCAGCAAAATTAGGCTAATGATCAAAATACTACCTATGCAAAATATCCCAAAATAAACTCATGTGCACTCTAAATCCAAACAAGTTAAGTGTGTGCAATCTCCATTGGTTTACAAATAAAATGCCAACCATGTTGTCAGTATAGGGAGAGAGGCAAATCTCAATGATCTTGTGAGTTATCAAATAATATAGGTAAATTATGGCTATCATCTCTCCATCCTGATGATTCTTGCAACCCTCACAATGATTAGTGTTAAGAAGTCTCACCTGTGCATGGTCCAGTAAGCCAAACACGGCATGAATATTGGTGTCTGCATGTACCATCACAGCATGAGCTGGAACTTGGGCCCAATTGCAGTCTGCAAATTGAGTTACTTCTGCGCGGGCTCCATTGGGACACAGTAACTGGAATTTACTGGATTCTAAATTTTTTGCCCAATCCTGTGTGCTTTTTCCTTAAAGGACAAAATTATATTTTAAAATATTGAAATGTTCTATGAAACAGATTTATTGATAATTTGGCATTGAACAAATGTTTCAAATTGAAGAATTCTGCAATGAATCAAAGTCCATCAAAGGAATTATTTTACTTAGAGAACAGTCAAAGTCCACATATGATTACATGTAGCTAAGTTAATATTCACTAAACCTTATACAGCCAATTTTCAATGTGTTTGCTAAATATCTGCCTATTAAACTAATAAAGGCAGGTAATGTTTTAAATATCTGGTAATAAACTAATGTTTCTACCAACAGCCAATAGATATTTGCAGCTACAAAATACTGACAACTGTGGGGCAGAGCCAGTGACCTTCCGAGTCAGACGTACAAAGCTGAAGCTCTGCACAAACAAGCAGGAAACCAGCCACCCTTACTTGTCCCACAAGCCAGGCTCCGAATACCCCATTGCCAATGGGGAGGAAAACCAAAAAAACAGCTCGCCAATCCGAGCCCTGGATCTTGAGATATCGAGACTTTTCTGCGCCAGGCAGCCAGGCCTGAACCACTGCTAGGAGCCTGAAGCTATGGATTAATTTTGGAACCTGGATAGTTGGCATCTCCATGTCCCATGGCAATGAAAAACCTTTTTTTTTCATGGCTACAAATGGTTCCAAGAGACTGGTCATCTCCTGGACCCCATTATAATTGATTCTCTTCATCCAGCAACCCATGGATTAGAAAGGGGTAGGAACCA